AGTGAGTAGATGGATATATATACTACTGCTACTACTATACTGTACCATATACTAGCTTTTGTCCGCAATTTCGTCCACGCAGAAATTAAAAGGTACTCAAAAGGTACAGAATATATCAAAATAGTTAACTATCTAACATTAGTATGATGATAAAAGGAAAATAGATAGCGATTGTAAATGAAAAAAAAACATGCATACATCAATCTCTTCCAGGAAACTTTTCTTACTTGTGTATTATTCTTAACAGGAACAAAGCTATAACACCAGAACAGCAAGTACTGATGACTCTCGAGTACTATGCATGTGGATCTTTCCAACGTTGTATTGGTGCAGCGTCACCAGGTGTGCATAAATCCAGTGTGTGTCGATCAATACATCGTGTAAGCAGAGCAATTGCTGGACTTCGTTCGGAGTGGATATCTACGCCTCAAAATAGGCAAGCTATGGAATATGAGGCCAGAAAATTTTATGAAATCTGTGCGTTTCCGAAAACAATAGGTGCTATTGATTGTACCCATATAGCAATAGAATCTCCAGGTGGAAATGATGCTGAAGTCTACAGAAATAGAAAACAGTTTTTTCCCTTAATGTTCAAATAATATGTAATTCAGCTATGTATCTATTATACCATAGTGGCACGTTGGCCAGGCAGCTGTCATGACTTTCTGATGATGATTTCTGGTTGCTGGGCGACGAAGGCTATGGTGTAAAACCATATCTTCTCACATCTTTACGCAATCCTACCACCGAGGCTGAACGCCTTTACAACGAAAGTCATATTCGTACGCGAAATATTATTGAACTTTCTTTTGGCTGTTGGAAAAAATGGTTCCCTTCTTTATCTTGGGAACTCAGGACTAACCCAGTAAAAGCTCAAGCAATCATTGTTGCAATGGCTGTGCTACATAACATCTGCAGAAAAGTCAGTGGCCCTATGCCATTTTCACAGCATGAAGAAGAGGCTGTCACAGATGAAGACGAAATATATAGTCCATCAGCCTCGGGTAATGATGAATGTAACAGAAATAAATTAAATAATAACTATTTTCGTAGACTAGTTCAGACATAAATAAAAACCTATTTTAATAAAGACTAATTATTTATTTTTAGCGCCGACCCTACGGTAGTAGGATAAGGAGATGATGATGATGATGATGAATTATTTATTTTTGATTTTAAGATATCTATTTCTAAATTTAATTTAATCAGTTCTAATTGATGTTTTTCTTCGTTATGCCTTAGTTTTTATTCGTGGAGTTCTATTAAAAAAAAAACTAAGAGTTTTGCTCGTGCTTGCCATCTTTTTTTATAATAACCGTCGATTGTAACCAACCGTCGAATTAATTTCCAAATTATGCAATGACAACGGACTTTAAGACACTTTCCTGACATTTAAATTTAAATGATGTCAGTGTAAAAAATATTACTTATGTAAATATTTGGGAGATAATGTGTTTTATCACTTGTAACCCTATTTACTATAACTTTTACAATAGATGTCACGGTGCAACGTTAGTAAGTTAATGTTAAGGTTACTGTAAATGTTACCGTTAGAATTAATTTTAACAATAACGATAACCGGCGATATGATGCAACTCACCCTTAGGAATCAAATCGATTGTCAAATGTAAAATAGCCAGTTACAAACGAAATTAAAAAAAAATCATTCTCTTTTAAAAATGGAACGGAATTATTATTGTCTTTTAAATGATTGTTGTTTTACATCAAAGTACATTCTACTTTTTGATTAAAAAAAATAAATCATTCTTGTTTACATTTTTTAATTTACAAAAAATATATATTTGCACAATAGAAAAACCTTTTTTAATGCAAACATTTGTCTATAGCAGTGCATTAGTTTAAAATACCCGTTTATTTAATTTTTTTTAAGTAACATAGAGTTTATTCTCCAGTAGGAAAATATTAATAAAACAAAACATATAATTTCCAATCCTATGAAGTTAAAAAAAATGAAGACACAAGGCCATTCAACATCGGAACTCGTAAAATTCCATCCTTCCCACCAATCGTCAGATATTTATCGTTGTCAACTTTTCGTCATTAAAAAGTTTAAAAACCTGGCTGGCGTGGGTTGTAAAAATCTGAAATAGGCACTTGAGACGTTGTTAATATTTTTTTTATGATGCGATAGGGTTGTCACCCTTTCGAGATAAAGTCAATCACAATTTTAATTTCGTTATAAAAGTAGTTCTGAAAGGGTCTAATGTACAGGTAATAAAAAGAGTAAGAATTGAGCTCGAGAATCTCTTTCGAATTTCACTCTATGTATTAGAAATACTAGCATTTAAATTCTACAATTAAATACTTTACCGTAAGATGTAAGACAGTGGACCAAGACTAAACAAAAGGTTATTTGTTATTTACTTTCTTATAATACAAATTGCGTGAAATTATTTTGCTCATATGTATTCTCTCTGTACACTGCAATTGCTACTTAAAATGATTTACATTTTAATATACGTGAGTACAGAAACAGTGAAAACGAAAAGGGTAAAAAGACACTAGCATAATTTTTACATTGTCTTCTTTTAGGTTTTATTTTTATTTGTATTTTCTTTCTAAATATTTTTATAGCATATTCAGAAACATTAAAACACTATTGTAATGAGCAAGTCGAATGTAGCGCCCCGGGGCTAGAAAATTTATTACATTTTTGGTTAGGCTTTGTTACTATCTATCTATACTATTATAATAAAGCGTAAACACACACGTCTTTGTTGCCTAAGATGTCAGCAATTACAACATATTTTTGAAAAAATCTTTTTTTAATAAAAAGCCCCACACTTACGTCACGCTTAAGGCTATATATTTTCATGCCATTAAACTTAGGGTTAAATATTTCGGATAAAAACCCTAATGTGGGAAAGAGACCATAAGTTGCTGCCAACATCAAGGAAGCAAGGTTGTCATCATGTCATGTCATTTTGACATCTGTAATTTGACAAATGTAAACAATGAAATGAAATTTTCACAATTTCATGCGGATGAAGTCACACGGGAACAGTTAGTCATTACATATTACTAAAAACGATATCTCTTATGCTTAAAATTACCTATCAATGTCTACATTCGTATTCACCAAGTACGAAATATAATAAAACAATTTCACCTTGGGTTTATATTTGTAAGATATTAAATATGAATGGAGAGGAATATTGAATGTCATTTTAAAGAGTATCTAGACGGTTTTCGATTTCCACCTTAATCCTAAGCTCCTGTCACGTTTCCCGCTAAAAGTGGCGGCCATCTTGGAACGTGACGGTTGACGAGCGTACTCGTTGACGCTTCCCTATTTAAAATTCGCCCTCCTTTATTCGCCTGCTATTTTATTTTAACAAACAGCGGATCTAATTTATTGAAGCACCTATTGTTGCTGTATCATGAATACGTCAGTGCTTTGTTTTTTTTTTATAAAACTAGTGCTAGACTTTCGTTGATCTTAATTTTTCGTATATCAGCGATAGATGGCGTTGCTAAGGATTTTTTCCAATGTTCAATGTTTGCCAATTTCTCTTTCAGTCAATCAAATTTGATTAAAGAATTTTTTACCTTAGTAACAATAGATCTATTGTAGTTATTTAAGTACTAGCAGTTGCCTGCGACTTCGTGCGCATTAAATAAAAAAATAATAAAAAAACATAACCTATGTTACTCACTGATAACGTAGATTTTTAACATTAGTATACATTAAAATTCAATAAAGTACTCACATATCCGAATGACTATCAATCATAAAGTTATTTTATTAACGTAGAAAATGGCACACACACATTAAGTTACCATGGTAACCGGTCGACATCCGTCACAAACTCAATAGTTACAAATACATTGTCAGAAAATGAAAGGAAATACATAAGGGGAAGGAAAAGAGGACGATGGGCGAAAGGAAGAGGAAATTAGATTTTTTCATCTGTACACAATCCGGTATTCATTTAAACCCTTGAAAAACTTGTATTTTTTAATCATTACACATTAAAAAAAAGTTAGTGATTGAACCCCTATGACATTAGTATAAATCGGTTCAGTCAATAGAAAGAAATATACTGTATAATATAATAGTAGTGGTTGCCGTATCATGAGAAGAGTAGACCGATATGGCTTCGTGTAACTTTTTTTTTTTCACACTGCTGCATCACTTCAGTCAGCCCGTGAACATGGCGCATGCAACTGTGCAAATATCGGGAGCTAAAACAATCCAATCGTGATAAGAAACCCGTATCATACAAACATTATATTTGTAAAACGACAGTTTAAAGTTATATATCGGAATATACTCATAATACGCGCCAAAAATATCCTTTTATCAGTCAGTTAAATAATGTTAAAACAATACCACAATATATTAGTAAATAATAAAGAAAATATGTTAGTAAATAATAAAGAATACAAGAAAATATATTAGTAAATAATAAAGAAATCTGACCTTGTTTCACTTTCAGATTGGGTAGAAGATTGTGTTCGGAGGTTATTTTAGATAAAACGTTTTCAATCCCTTCGCATAGTTCTTTGTATTATAACTACAGATATTCTGTAAAGGTTAAAGGACTAAGCTCTTGTTCACTGGTATAACTACGACTACATTGTTAGTTTAAATTACACAGATAAATAAATTAGCAATCGCTTTTATTTTAATAAAGTATGTCATCATCATCATCTCCCCTGCCTTATCCTACTTCCGTAGGGTCGGCGCACCGGGTTTTCGATCTCCAAAGATCTCTATGATCCGTCATCTCAGTCATCACTCCTTTCTTGATCATGTCACCTTTCACGCAATCCATCCATCTCTACCGGTGTACCCCTCCACATTCATAATTATCGTCCCTCTTGTAATAAAGTAGAAGTATGTGTGAAATACATAGGCTACTTACTCAAGTTTTTTAATAAGAAGTCACGGACGAAAGCTAGTATGTAGATAAAAATCCGCTTACAATTTGTCACTATATATAAAGATATCGATCACACAAACGCGTATAAAGCCAAAGTCGAAGTCTGATCATCAAAATATCCTGAAGAGGTCAGGAGAGTGTGGAAAAGGGTAATCGAGTAACATTAAAGCGGGCGCATAACTTTGACTAAACTATCGCATAATTTTTGTGCGATTATCGATTGTTTCGGAGCTAATTCAACTGTTTAGTTGCACAAGTAAAATAATAAAAGCAGTGTGCGCACCTCCAAACAAGCTCATAAGAAACAAAACGCGACCAAACAGTTATGCGATAGTTTAGTTTCAGGTGTGCGAACACTCTTAAGTCTGGCCTGCTTTGGACATTGACTTACGACTCCGCGCTGACTCGTTTTATTTGACTGAATAACTTTTTTCTAACTTAACGTTACCTTTGTACGTAGAAAGAAGTTTTAGACTTTTCATTAGACTTTATCATACATATTTGTAGATATTTCTTCTTAATTGAAGTGATTCTTTAATTTTGCGATTTAATATTCCATAAACATAAGAATTGGACTGTATACTGTATGAAAATATTAAAACAATAGAAACTTAATTACATCAGGATTGTCTTAGAGTTAAATACTTGACAAAAAGGGATATAAAGCTGGTATTTTCTATATAATCGAAGAGCAAATTATGTATTCATTCTAGCAAAAAACCGTGAAATGGAACGCAAAATCAGACGGGAATACTTAGCGAAAATCCACGCGCCCGCTTTTTACGAGGCTGTATTTTTTGGATACATGCCGAGTCTACGTGTGTTTACCTTCCATATTTGACGTTCTTCGTATCAATCTGCCATATTTTTATATAAAAAATATAGTAAAGATGAATGTGAGAATCCGTGAAATATCAAATTCATCCGATCATTTACTAAACATAAGTAAACAATAAATTTAACGTTGCTAATGTCACTTAGGGAACTTCTTTAAGTTTATTTAGTATGCGAAATCGATGTTAAGGGACTGTTTAAGTAACTACTAAACATGTGTGAGGACGTTATACTTTTAAATGATTTACAATTATTTGCTAATTAAAATGTTCTTAGTGGTTACAGAGGTTGGTTGATGTTCACAATTGTTTTGATCTGAACTTACTTCGATACCATTTTATTACTAGTATACAATGTTGTGTGGATATCAATACTATAAAACTTATAAATCTAGAATTTACCAGCTATGCTAATATGTCTGTAGAAAAAGCAGATAATAAAGTTTCTCAGATTACAGGTTTATGCGTTAATATATTTTTATAAAGCATTATTGAAAGTTGTAAAATATAACACAATTTTCTTAATAAAACAAAACCTAGGGAAAATTATTGTAGAATGCAATAATTAATTAATACTTAAATAGTATATAAAGTATATAATAAATAATATAAGTTTACATTAAAAGGAGCGTTATGTCATTTAGGTTTATTATTTAAAATTTAAATTATACAATTATACCGAAGAGCGTCCTGAAACTCGTGAACTCTACAATTCCGCACGGGTGTTGTTAAATTTTCTATTCAACAACTAATTGCGTTCAAAAATTGTTTTTATAAGATAGCTGTATTATGTAAACATGTAGTATCTAAATAAAACAAGAAGTAAAAATTATCAATAACAAAATTGGAAGCAAGACAAAACATCACATAAACATGCGTAAAACTGGCATCACTTACTTTTTTAATCCAAAAAAAAACGTAACATTCACCGGTACGGCCACGCTTACGTCAAATATTTGTCAAGCACGAATACATTCACATATAGGTACATTGCACTAACGTAGTAGAGTAGAGTAGCCGAGCACATGTGCAGGACACGCGGCCACTCGATCAGCTGTTCCAAACACGTTATTATAAAACAGAACGATTACTC